CAGGCCCTCAATGTTGTCGATTATGTTTTGGCAGTGATGTTGCTGCGTGCCAGAATTACTTCCATCAGTGCTGCTATTCATGTTTCTGTCGCTGCGCTTTGTGGAACTGCATACGAAACAACGGAATTGTTTCAAGTGGCTATGCAGAAGAAAACGGTTTATGTTTTCTGATTCCCAACAAGTCTCAGGACGTGAAGACACGCTACTTGTCCAGTACTCTGGTCGCTTCTTCAATGCGCCGTGACGGCTCTGACGCCACCCTGCCGGCTTTCTGGCCTATGCGTTTGTTCGTGTTGGGGCATATTCGAATGTGTATCATTTCGGCTCCCAGACGCGGTGTGGCGATTCTGTGGGATGTGCAGATGGGAGAGGGGCGATCGATCTGAAGCTGCCTTGCGGGCCCATCCTTCATCGCAGCGGGAAGGCGCTGCATTTTGATTTACTTGTTTTATATGTTCAACTTGCTTGGGGCCATTTCGCCGATTTGAGTGTGTGACAGCATCCCCAGCCAATCCGAAGTCAAATTGCTATTCTCGTCCTCCTCAACCTCCTCTTTTCTTTCTTCCCCTTCTCCCGTTCAATCTCCAGCGTTCGCCATCTGTGTGTCAGCTGGACGCTTCTTCGAGTTTCAGAGCCATCCGCCGTGAGGAGGTGTGAGGCGAAATGCCGTGGTGGCCCTGAAACTTCCAGACATACTCATACTACATGTGCGTCGCCCCACAGGGTCGACGCGCGCATCGAGAAATCTTATAGTATATGTGTCGTGGTGGGCACTTTCTTGCCGCACTGCTCGGGAAACGATATGCTACGAGATGGGTCTACTGTGCGTTCTGGTCGGACGCGCGCCTGCCGTGGGAGAGGACATGCAGTGTTAGGATGTCTTTGTGCGCCCCAGGGGAAGAAGGGTGGCAGGATGAGGAGGAGCAGTGCGACGAGGAGGAAAAGCGCGGTGGCGGCGCTCGGTGGCCGAGGTTCTGTCGGCCCTCCACGTACCTCTCCCTGCCGGTGGACGACGTGCTGGCGCACCCGGAGTTCCGGGCCGCGGCGGGCTCGCCCGCGAAGGCGCCGAGGGTCGTCGTCGTCGTCGTCGTCGTCGGAGGAGGAGGAGCAGCAGGAGGAGGAGGAGGCGCAGGAGGAGGAGGAGGCGGAGGAGGAGGAGGAGGAGGAGGAGGAGGAGGAGGAGGTGGGACCGAACAAATATGACGGGGACGGAGAGAACATCTTCCAGGCCAGAGAAGCGTGCTTTCGGGGCCGAGCTGCTCTTCCGGTGGAGCGCCCACGGGGAGGGGCGCCTCCCCAGAGGTGCTCGACCTGGGCGCCGGCATCGGCAGGCCCGCGGCGCGCCGCCGGGCATGCATGCCACGCCGCTGCCGGCCTGTCGCGCGCCCGGGTGCCTGGGGCTTCTCCGGATCGGGAGGGCGGGGGGCCGCCATTTGTCACCACCCACCAAACCACCCCAACCCAACCCGAAGGCCTCAAATTGACCTCCATTTCCAGTGGGGGGGGGTCGGGGAACATCGAGAAAACACACATGGAACCCGTACCCCCCCCCCAACCCGAAATTCGGGCCTTCGGGTTGGGTTGAGGTGGTCTGGTAGGTAGTCGATTTGGGGCGGACGGGGGGCTCCAGCTCCGAGGTTTTCGGGCGTCTTCGTCGGTTCTCGGCGGTCTTCGGCCTCGGGATGCCTTCCAGCAGCTGCGCCTCGCCGAGAGCGTTCGGGGGGTGCCCGATTCGTTCCGATCATCCGCCGGAGACCCTCCTCATCATATTTTCTCGCCCTCCTCCCTCCGTCTCGCACTCCCCCCTCGTCATCCTCCTCCCTTCGCCTCCAATCTTATTCTTCCTGGTCGCCCAGAGGTGCGCATTCGCAACGCTCGCTTCAGGTCGAAAGCTTCCCTCCCTCCTCCCTCCTCCTCGTCCAATTCCTCCTCATCCTCCCCCCCCTCCTCCTCCTCCTCCTCCTCCTCCTCCTCCTCCTCCTCCTTCTCCTGTCCCCACGCTGGGCTTCTCCTTCTCCTCTTTCTCCTCCTCCTCCTCCTACTTTTCTTCCTCCTCCTTCTCCTCGCTCCTCCTCCTCAATCGTGTGCTGTATCGCTCCAGGTGTGTGTGGGTCCTCTCATACGTGGCCCAGTTCTCTCCTCCCCCACCTGGTCTCAGTCACTATGAGATGGGTCTCCTTGCCCAGTTCTTCCCCCTCGTGTGGGCATGCTCTCAGCAGGTGGATTGGCCTCGATTGGTGAATGAGGTGGGGTCCACGTTCCGCTCTTGTCTCGTGCATGCCAAGATGTTTTTCTCGAGCAGCGATTGTGACATTCCCTCGGCACCGGCTGATCACTGAAGCGATCTACGCTACTGCTGACCAATGCTACCATGATCACCTTGCTGTCCAATGTGATGGCGCGCCAGATGCTGCAGTCGGTGGGCTTGCCCCTGGTGTGTTCAGTCTTGGCTGGTCCCATCTAGCAGCTCCCCGCTTATCTCGACGGGTTTGCGAAGGTGGAGGCTGGTGAGTCTTGTGGCACATACATATATCTCGCCCTGCAGGTTTGTACTGAGGCAATCCGCGAGGAAATCTGCATCATTGTCATCCGCCCCCGTCCACAGTGTGCGGCATTCATATTTGATTAATACGGACGCAGAGTATCATGAGCAACCCAGTCTCGATATGTTTGGAATTCAAGCTGGTCAAGTACTTTGACGGATGGCAGCCCTTTCTACATTGTGCGTATTGGGATTCTTTGAAATGCCTTCTCTCGCCGGTCCAGTGCAGTTGGGCGATGCCTGTGATTAAGGCATTCGCGTTTTATTGGCTGTCGAGCTTCCGTATTTCTCACGCGGCTGGGGCAAGGATATGTATTTGTGGGTGCAAGAATCGTCCTTGTCGTCTCTCACACTATGTCCGATGCCGTGCTCTTCTACATGCAGTGTCTTCGGCGATGGGTCCCCCTTTGCCTCGGCTGCTGACGGAAAAGTCTCTGCTCATTCAAAGAATCCGTGGCGAGAGTTGAGGACATGGTTGTTGCGTACAACGCGTACCACGACGTGCGCGCCATGCACGTTGTCTCCCAGGGAGCCCCGTTTTTTTTGTTCGTGCTGCCGTTCTGGGCCTTCGCCTTGTTCATCCTGTTCCGAGGCTGAAGGACGAGTGGTCTGAGCCGCCAGCCATTGCTCTGCTTCCCCCTCGCACCCGTCCTAGACGTGCTCGCAGGTCTCACTCGGTGCCTTCTTCTTCTTCCTCTCCGTCCTTCCGCCCTGCCCCGCCCAGATGCTGATTCCGACGTGGTCGAGCCCAGGTTGGAGATCGCACGTCCCAACAGATGCAGCCACTCCAAAGCGATCGTTGCATGTGGCGAGTTCCCCTGCCCCCACTGAGATCGCTACCCCCACCTAGCTGCAGGCGGCCTCGGGCCTGTCCTTCTCGCTGGTGCCTTCGCTTCCTCAGCTGCTGCTGCCCTCTGTTGGCGCTCCTGCCTGCTCCCATCTCGTTCAATCTGCTCTGCCCGCGCGCACGTGCCGTCACGGCGCTAGTTCGGCGCCTTCCCGCACCTCTACCAGTACGGCAGGAGACCTGCCAGCGTCTTCGCGACCATGTTCCTGGGAGAGGTCGCTCCGGAACATCGTTTCCTCCCGCCCAGCGTGGGGCGTAATCTTCTGACGAACCTTCCGTATGCGCTGCACTTTCCCCCCCCTCCTCCTCCTCCTTCTCCTCCTCCTCCTCCTCCTCCTCCTCCTCCTCCTCCTGGGATCTGGTGCTGAACCGTTACATCTGAATAGCTTGCTATATCGCTCCCGCCTTCTCCTCCTCCTCCTCCTCCTCCTCCTCCTCCTCCTCCTCCTACTGAATCATACTATCCTCTCTCCCCTGACTCCGTCCGGAAGATTTCCAGCCCTTTCCGCTCATTGTTTTGTTGCACACGATTTCAAACGTTGTATTCTACGATGGTGTTTTCTAATATAATCCGATTGTTGTCGGTGTTTCAGAATGGTGCTCTCGCTGCAGCGTGGGCCTCATTTTCGGATGGGCCTCATTTTCGGATCGTTCAGAAAGGCGCTCTCGCCCTGGCGCGGGCAATTTTTCTAGTCTGAGTCCTTTCTCATCGTTGTTGCCCACCTTATTTTCCCCCCTCCGCCTTCCACTGGTCCTCCTGATCCCCCACTCCTTCCCATTCCTTACGCTCCAGTTCCTGCTGCTGCTGCTGCTGCTGCTGCTGCTGCTGTTCGTCCGCGTCCTCCTCCTTGATCATTCTCCTCCTTGTCCTCCTGCACATCCTACTGATCAACCGCCACCTCCTCCTACGCGCGCAGCTCGCATTTTCCGCTTACGCATGACACGATCGGGGTCTTTATGTTGAAGTTCCAGGTCAGTTGCGACATGCGTCCGCAGACATATAGAGAGACAAGTCCGCGCAAGGGGAAGGGATGGGGGAAAGGGATAGCGCGAGCGCACCTCGCTTGTCCTCCGCCTCCTCTTCCTTTTCCTCCTCCTCCTCCTCCTCCTCCCTCCCTCCCTCC